TGTTCAGGAGACTACCAGTTATGATGAATGTAGATAGCTTAGACACAATGAATTAGGTGATATGTTGAAAGTGCAATTCCTTATGTCAAAAGAAGCATGTTGCTTGACACAAGGTGTGTCAAAATAGCCTAAGTGTGTGTGTGTGTCGAATTGTATGTCGAAGTGTCAAAGCAGGTTGCTTCACACAAGATTTTGACTTAGATCCAAAATAGGTATTTTGGGCTTTTGTGTTTTGGGTTTTGTCTTAGGGATAAAGATAACATAAAATTATAAATAGAAAGAGTAACCCTTTTATTAAAACACAACTTGAATTCACTGAATTTTCAGTTGCAAAGTGAATAAAGATTTCCCACAGTTTGTGGGTAAAGAGTTACTCTACAGAAAATAATCTTTTTCTTTCTTTTATTCTCGTAAATCCTAATTTTCTTCCGTCCTCAATTTTTCATTGTTATTGTGTATCGATAAAAAATGTGTTCATCAAGATTGATAGAAATTCTCTATATATTTTAATGGATTTCCAACAAAATTTGTATATGTGTAAAATAAAATTATACAGTTGTCATATTTTCATTGGAAAATAGTAAAAATTACACCTAAAAATTTTTATCTAAGTTTTGTCCATATATATATATATATATATATATATATATATATATATATATATATATATATATATATATATATATATATATATATATATATATATATATATATATATATATATATATATATATATATATATATATCCAAAAAATAAATACAAATAATATTTAGTGAATTTAAAATTGCTGATTAAATTTTACTAAAAAAATCATTATTTAAAATCCAGGTATCTAAAATGGCCTAATATATTTTCTAGTTTCTACTACTAATTATAAAATATAATTAATTATAGAGGGATAAAATTAAATTTTTAATCAAAAAATAATATAATTTATTAAATAATTTTTAATACAAAATTAAGTGGGACACATGCCCCCAATATCTTACACCTAACTTGTCTCTGTCTCTGAATGTAGAGGAAAAAATTCAAAACAGAGGAAAGTCAAGATTATGGGCTGAAAAATAGTAAAAATATGTTTTAATTAGGAAATTTTTTAATACACTCTTATGGATTTTTAGGGATCTTTAACAAAAAAATTGTAAGACCCCCTTAATTCGGATATATCTATCCGAACTCACTACATTTCAATTCTTTATCGAATAAGTTCGAATATACATATCTAAAATTATTAAATGATAACTTTCGAACATACATATCTGAAATAACTCTTGTTTCTTTTTTTAAAAAATGAAGGTTATATCGGATAACTATATTTGAATTATGCAGAACCAGTAATAGATTTTGTTTTAGCATAATCAGTACCATAGAAACATTAAAAAATTAAATTGGTAAAAGTAAACAGCAGTAAAATATTGAATAGATATATTATATGTATTGAAATATAGAATATACATTGTGCACAACAGTACATTCAAAAAATGGTTCGATTACATTCTAAGACACATCGAAGAAATTGTCACCGCTTAAATTTAAAATTGGTTCTTTCTTCGACTTCTCTCTATTTTATTCTCTCTCGAGCTCCGTCGATTTGGTGAACTCTGTCATCTTTTCCAAAAAATGATCCGACTAAATTTCTGCCTCTTTTGCAGAATGTATCGTCCACTCCATTGATGTAGTCAGAATAGAACAGTCCGATTTCAAATAAACCTGAACAAAATTGAGCGATCAAAATACGTAATACAAACGATGCAGTCGGATGAGTCTTGAGGTGGACGACTCTGAAGTGGAAAAACTGTCTTCGAAAAACCATATCTCGTCAGATCAATACACACCATGTCATATGCACTTGCTATAAGATGTCTCATTTAAAAGAAACATTCACTTTGCAACTGGTGCGGGACCGCTAACACATTGATCATGAGCATTTTGAATTTTATTGAGTTTCTTTTCCTATATAGTCGTGTGTAAAATTTCCAATACGCCGTCAACTCTAAAATAAATGTTTGGTGTACAAGAGCATTAATGCGAAAAAATGAGAGATTAAATAAAGAAAATTTATCATAATTGCAACTTTCTATGTTATCTTTGATATGATAAAATACTTGAAATTTGATTTTGAGACGAAAAGAATTGAGAATGGTTGAAGTTTTGTGATAGATTTTGATTATGGAGGAGAATTAAAAGAATAAAATAATAGTATGACTGATCATACAACAAACTGAAATAATAACAATATTTTCGAATATACATATCAAAAAATATCACTGAATGTTTAAATCCAACGTTTAAATAATAATAATATATAAACAAAAGATTTTTGAATAATCATTTTCGAAACACCTTAAAGACTAATTAGAGTGTGTTTGAAATTACTTTTTCGAAACACATTTTAAAATTTTCAAAAGTTTATTTCATCCATATAAATTCTTGAGTTATTTTGAGTGGTAGAAATTAAATGGTAGAAATGATAAAGGTTGAATTAGATATTAGATTAGTATTGTTTGAAACACGTCACTTATCTCATCTTAAATGATGAAAAATAATTTATAAAAATCACAAAATATTTCTCTAATTTCAGAAATACAGAAAATGCATTTTCAAACCTACTTTAAATCTCACCAAAACTTGTCTCAAGTGAAACTCTCTCAATTTTAAATCTCACCAAAACATATCATAAGTGAAACTCCAATTATTCCTCAGAATTTAATCTTAAGATGTTTTTCCATATTCACCAATATTCATTTACACTAAGTTTATACGTATGAGTCACACATTTGCTTTATAAAAAAAATAGCCTAGAAATATACTTTCAAAATAAATTTGAAAATATAATTCCAAAAACTTTTAAACCACCCTCCTGTCACTTTGTATATTTAAAAGCACTTATTGCTGCCTTCTTTATCATTCCAACCTTTTACCTCTTTTCACCCTCTTAATGCTCCATTTCATAACCCGTGTTTGCATACAAAAATAAAATAGCTTAAACACACTTTTAATCTCTTTATTTTTAAGTTTTTAAAATTTTAATCTATTTTTTTATCTCTAAATATCATCTCATTCGAGATTTAGCGGCCCTGATTGCTGCCTTCTTTATCATTCCAACCTTTTGCCTCTTCTCACCCTCTTAAATTATTCCATTTAATGTTAAGGGTGTTCTTGACAAGACGATGAGCTGCTTCTCCTAATTGAAATCCAGTTATTTCTCTAGATAATTGTGGCCTGTCACATGCATCACATACAAAAAAGTAAGGGCATGTTTCATGCATCTAGAAATTCATATTAATAACTTGAAAGCTATTCACAACTTTTCAATCTCCTCAACATTGATTTCTCCAAATTTTGCATGAATAAATTACTTGAACAAAAAACTTAATCATGATTACTTCTCAATTATGGCAACAGGTGACATTGACTTATATTAGCACCATTATCATATGGAAATAAAACATAGCCATATCACAGTTAGTATTTTGTCTTCGGGGAGAAAAAATTGGAACAATTTGAAGATGGTTCCAAGCTGGTGGTTTTGTTTTAAGATTAAAATCCCACGTCGTTTTGTTTCAGCTTAAAGTCCCATATCGATTTTGTGTTAAATATAAGTAGTGTTTATATATCCCTAGGCTAACGATTAAATGAAGTGCCCTTGCAAGGGCTTGGCCCAATATATTTTATTTAACTAATTAATTTACAAAAAGAAACATACTTAATTTATAAGTTAATAAAAACATATTAGTTAATATATTAATCCATTGATCAATACCACATAATTAAAAATAATTTTTTATCCCCCAAACAAAATTTAGTTAGAAAGTTTGAATTAGATTTTGAAAAAAAATAGAAGGTAAACAAATTAATCTTGTTACAATATCATGAATCTTCAACCCATCAAGACTAGGAACTTCATCTAAAATGGCATGACTTTAATCTATTAAATGATAAATAGGATCACTTTGGAGAAGTCTTATCATACAATGTTAATGCCACAGCTTCGGAATTAGGAGTGGCTTTAACAAAAGTGAGGGTGTTACTCGTTCACAGCTACCCCTCCAGCATGGCAACGATCCTTCCCCGTAATTTACTATAGATTGTATCATAAAAACTACACAGAGATATCCAGCCACATTAACAGCAACCGATCTCTATAGGAAAAATAGGTTAAGCACGACAATGAGTTCTTTCTGAATTGAATTTTTAACATATTTCAACAGTATTACTTCCAAATGATTATTTTATGAGAAATAATTCGGTCTAGTCTTGCAGTTATTTTAACAGTTCAGAGAATAGGTTTAACCATATCACTCTGTAGTTCTCTACCCTTTACAAGACTGAATTTGGAAAACAATGAAAACAGAGTAGCAGACTGGAATCTTAGCTTAAAACACTAACCAAAGGTTGGGTGAGGGGAACACCAAAACAAACATTAGTTTTGTTCCCTTTAATGATTTTTCAGTCTCAGTGGGAAACCCCTTGAATTTCCCTTAGAAAAATATATTTGGAACCTTCCATATTCTATAATTAGATCCCACAATAGAATTATGCTTATTAGGTTCTAACCCCACTTCCATTGCAGATGGAAAACGAAGATGTCACGGCTTTATGGTGAATAGCCATATATGGTGAATAGCCACGGCTATAAAGCAGAATATATAAGACATGCTATGCTTGAATACGAAAATGGAAGAGTGCACTTACAGTCAAAATGTAACTGCAAAATGCAACCTTGCAATTTCTACCTGTCAATCTAGAGGACAAAGCAAAGCATTTGGACGCTATGCAGACAATCTAATAATAACATTCATTCCTGAACATGACGGTGACGAATAGTTTCTTCCATTAAGATTTGGGATAAAGGTTAACTAGCTACTGGACTACAAAATGGCGGAGTCTGGATGACAGAAGTTCTAACAAAATTGTTCAAAACATGTTTCATGCCAGACGAATAAAAAGGTTCACCCCCACCCAATTATAGTAACAAACACTATGAACACATAACTTA